GCTGTAGCAGTGAAAAAGTGGACTAAAATGCATTTTTAAACTCAATACACCATATAAATTATATTTCATTCTTTCTCATGGATTTATTGTTCTGGTACACGGCTATGTCATCATTTATTTAAACTCTTATTGATGGACATTTATTTCCGGTATTTCATTACTGCATACAGTGATACATAAACATCTTTTTACATGGACTTTTTTTGAGTATGTTTCCTGGTATTTCGAAGAGGAACAACTGAGTCAAGGAATATATACCTTTTAAGTACTGATTAAATTATTGCTAGGTTGCCCTCTGAGTATACTAACTTCACTCCTGTTGACAATCCACCCTTCAGTCTTCAAGTCGCAGCGTAAGGGTCACTTTACAGGGAGCCTGATTCACTCCCCTTGCTCCCGGCAATGTCAGGACCCCTGCTTTCTTCTGAAGTGTCCCACCAGAATATTGCAACATTCCCAAATTTTGGCCCTCATGTCTTTTGAGTATTATTTTTTTAAAAAATTAATATGCCCGTACTGCTGGATTTTGAGTTCTTTATTCTGCCTTTAAATATTTTTTTTTCTGATTTCAGAAGTAACATGTTTACTATATAAAATTTCACCATTATGGAAAAACACTGACATTATGGAAATATCTATTTTAGATGGTGCTCATCTGTGCCACTGTGTGTGTACCTCTCTGGTTAGCAGGCACAGCCTGCACCACAGTAACTGACATATGCCTTCTTCTCACCCCAAGCCTGAGTTCTTTTTCATCATTCAGTGTTGTCTTTTCATTTTTGTGCCCCAGCACCTACGACGGTACCTGGTACGTGGTGTATACTCACCAGGTGCTTGTCGCCTGCAAGGATGGGAGGCAGTGCTCTCGTAAGCACAAGTTATAGATACTGGAAGGACCTACAGGTCTTTTCTGTTTAGCTTCCCTCTGAAGTGATGGCTTTGTGGGCCTCTCCCATAGTACCAGGCTCTTCCATAGAAACCAGTGCTGATGAAGTGCCCCTCTTCTGGATGACTGGTTTTCATAGGTGTCAGGAACTCTTTAGTTCCTCTAACAAAGCCAATGCAGAAGCCTGGGAAGCAGTTAGGAGCAGAGGAAGATTGGTTTGCCGATGTGATTTGTTGCTATGTGTGTTCATTATCCACTGGCTCTGTGCTCCCGAAGTCAACATCCCCTGCGTTGGCTGAGTCAGGCAATCTGGTGAAGTCGGAAGTGAAGCCAGGCCCAGCTCCGATGCCGGATCAGGAGCAACAATAACAGCGTTCATCTCTGGAGTGCCTGCCGTGTGTTGAATGTTTTACCTTTAATGTAACACTCGTAAAACCCTGTGGGGAAAATATGGTTTTTCTCCAGATTTGAGATGATATTCAGCCCCAGGGAGATAAACTTCCCAAGTTTATCTAACACAGCTGTTAGATGGTGGTGCCTGGCCGTGAATCCAGGTCATTTTTTTAAAAATATTTTTTCGAGTTGTTGATGGACCTTTATTTTATATTCATATGTGGTGCTGAGAATCAAACCCAGTGCCTCACACATACTAGGCAAACACTCTCCCACTGAGCTACAGCCCCAGCCCCAGCCCCAGCCCCAGCCCCAGCCCCGGGTCATTTTTTATAATCCATCTATACTCCTTTTTTATTCTCTCTTTTTTTTTTAAGAGAGAGAGAGAGAGAGAATGAGAATATTTTATATATTTTTTAGTTTTCGGCAGACACAACATCCTTGTCTGCATGTGGTGCCGAGGCTCGAACCTGGGCCGCAAGCATGCCAGGCGAGCCCACCACCGCTTGAGCCACATCCCCAGCCCTCATCCTCCTTTCTTGCCCCCAGCCCCACTGTGGAACATCGGATGGAAGAGCCTAGAGTCCCCTCTGTTCAGTGAGACACTGTTGGAATCCTGAAGTAACCATATCATCTTTGTGACCTTTTTTCTTCCCTCCTAAAATCATAGCCACTTGGTGGGACAAAGGATCAGGTTTATCTTCTTCTAGGAAATGAAATGGAGACCCCATGACTATGCCACTCATTCTCACAGTTGCAGTAGAAGGGCTTCCAGATTTCACTGCATACATGAAAGGTCTAGTGTGGCTTTGGTTGAGATGGTGCAGAGCTAGATGTTTAGCTAAAAGAACTAAACATCATAGGTAAATTATGAACTAGAACCAGAAACATAAGGGTGGGTTGGTCTGTGAAACTCATGAGAACATATACAACACTGATTGCCCCAAAGTTGTCCTTCTACCTAGAGGCCAAAGTGACCTTGCATGTTTTTAAAAATAATTTTTAGTTGTTGATGAATATTTTATTTATTTATGTGCGGTGCTGAGAGTCAAAACCAGTGCCTCATACGTGCTAGGCAAGTGCTCTACCACTGAGTCACAACCCCAGCCTTTGCAGGTTCTTTTTTGATTGTATTCACCTTATTGCATATGGTCAAACATGGAAAGGACGTATGTGTCCTCAATCACTTATCTGAAAATTTTGAGGAAATTCTTCTCTTTTTACATCTTAAATTGCACAACTTCTGGTGGAACTTGGGGTTAACACTGCAATGAAGCATATTGATATGTCATCAGTAAGACATGATAATTCCTATTAGATAGGGATAAGTAAGATTGTATTACCTTCATGTCATTTCAGGCCTTTTTTTTTGCTACCAAATGGCTTGCATACACTTAAGGGAAAACAATTCTCTTTTCAGAACCTTTTGGGTTTCAGAATTACAGATTAAGAATGATAGACTTGAAATTTTCTCCCTTTTTGCACTGGCACAAATATTAACTTGTGGGGCACCAAAAATGTGTTTGAGAAAAGACCCTCCTGTCCCTTAGTAGAAGCAAAATGAAACTTTGTTTCCATGGAGGGCCCTGACTTCCTGACACTTGGGGCTGCACCATTCCTGCGTGTGACCCCATGGTAGCTTAGTTCCAAGCTGGTGGTCTTGGGTGGGGCGTTCTCCCTGCCCCCACTCTCACCCCAGCCAGTTCCTCCAGCCAGCTTCCCTTTCTTTTGTACTGGGTGGATCTGGAGAACGGCTTTTTTTTCCCTCAGGGTCTGTGTGGGGAGGGACTGTTGCCGCTCAGGCTGCTCACAGTCTCTTTTCTGGATGTGGCACACTCCCCAGGCCTTTGTTTCTTAGTTTGGGGAGCATTCACCATGGAAACCATCTTGGCTCATCTCCTCCCACTCCCAGGTGGTCTTTGAGGCTTTGCCCGCACCGTGCCACGCTGAAAACGCAGTCGGCACACAGGCTCGCTCTTCATGTTTCCATCGCGTATTTGGCTCGTGGCTGGATCCTGCACAGGGGTATGTTTGCCTGTACCTGGTACCAGGGAGTTGTCTTTCACCCTGTTCAGTGCCAGACTCACTTTTCACACCTTCAGTGATGCCTCATTGTTTCCAAAGCCCGTCTGAGATTAGGAGAGGCCACAGCAAGATGGTTTTACCCACTCTTGTTCCTGCTCCTACTTCAGCTCCTTTGGGCCTCTTGTAACTATTGTGTCTCTGGTTTGTGGAGTACATCAAGCAGTGAGAGTCCTCAGAGACTATTTATACCATAAGTGCCTACCCATTGTTGCGGGGGGCTGAAGTTTGACAGCACCCTCGGCTTCCCCTAGACCCTGATTTATCAGAGTGCAGTATTTATGCCATGTGGTTCTGACTTGGGCCGAAAATCTTCAATCAGCCCAGTGACTTAAGTTGCCAAGGAAACAATGTCTAGTGAGACTTCAAGATTTACTACCTGTTCCCAGGCTGCAAGGTTTTCTCTCGAATTCTTGCTGACACAGTTTACTCCCATAACCTTCCAGCCTTGTGGGGGGTATAAATCTTCCAGCTTTTCTGCACAATTCGCTTTGCTGCATGCAAGGCCTAGAACCAAAGAAGATGAGTTTCAGGGGGTTCATGAACTTCTGAAAATTATATGTACTGTTTTGTGTGGATGTATGTATGGGCATTTATTTTCTTCTGGGAAAAGTCTTGCACTGATTCTTAGTATTAAATTCTGAAGCAGTGTAGCCTTGAGTAAAACATTTAACTCTTCTGAGTCTCTGGAAACTGAGAATAATACAAGGTCTTATCCCATTAATTCACAATGAGGGTGCAGTGATAAAAATGCATATAAACTGTCTAATACAAGATCCATAAACATTCCATAGATGTTGGCTATCATTATATGTCTGAGTCTGGAGCCTCAAAAGGCTACGATGATATGATTGCCCTTTGTTATTTAGAATTAGCAGCAGATATATAATTTGTAATATTTACCAACATTTTTATAGCACTCCATGCCGTACACCAAGGTAACTGCCACATGTGTTCTTCTTAGCGTGCTTGTTGGTAGGTGGGAGAGCCTGTATTACTCTTCCCTTTTACGAGTGAGGACACTGAGGCTCAAGGGAGACCAAGACCACTCAGCTAATTGGGCTCAGGAAAATGGGTCGTGCTCTCCGTATGGCAAACAAATCGATCCTAAGACTAGCAATTGCAGTGCAGACTGTGATGAGAACCATAGCTCCCTAAGTACAGGAGGGTAAGGCCATCTAGGAGGGTCAGAGTGGGCTTCTGGGTATAAGTTACCTAAGTCTGACCCCGTAGGTAGGACTAGGTCAGTCAAAGGAGGGGGCTGCCAGAGAACATTGCATATAGAGCCAACAGCATGTTGCAGGTGCCTTCTGGAAGAAAAGGATTGGAGATAGCATAGACCTAAGACAAAAAAGAAAGTTTCCTTTAACTCCTAAAAGAGGAGATGAGTATGCAAAGAAAAAGAAAAGGAACAGAGCGGAGAAGGAACTTAAGTTAGGATTTGTTGACAAACCTGTGAACCATGCAGCATTTAAAATAATTTTCAGGAGACTTCTATCATGGGAATATATTTGCTATGTTAAGTGGAGTGTACTTAAAATTGCCGATAAGCCAAGATTCCAGTGAAAAAACTAATCCACAAAGGACAAAGGCTTAAAACTTACACAGAAAATGAAAAATAACTCTTGCGTTAAAGTGATGAAGTTGAAGGCTTATTTTAATGAGTTATTTGGTATGTTTTGTTTAAGTCATTTGTTGTTTACAGTACATTGGATGGGTGGTGAGGATTCCAGCATTGTAGGCTTCTCCAACTTCTTTAGTTCCAGTTCATTAATTCATTAGTTCATTTCATGCTTGCCTGTTCCAGGCGCTGTGCTTGGGCAAGTATCAGTTGCATCTGTGTGTCTGTCCACTGTTGACTGGTCCTCTTTCAGAGAGCCCAGCCCCCCTGCCTCCTGGAGTCGCCACCTCACCAAGGCTAGCTGCAAACGCATGCCTCTCACTTGTTCTGAAGCACCTGTAATTAACATTCCCCTTTTGTTCATGTGATTTTAGAAAAAGAAAAGGCAGTACTAGTTAGTGAACAAGGCTCTTCCCAGGATCTAGAAGGAATTAAGCTGGGAAATTAAGTAACCAGCGAGGTGACAGCTGAAATAACCAGGTGTCAGACAGAAATGTCCGTTTGACCTGGCTTATTACTGTTTGGAGTCGAGTGCTTTTGGACAATTGCCTGAATTCTAAGCTTTCCACAGGGATCAAAGGCTTTGCTTGCTCTCAGTATGTTTTTAAGCAGTTAGCTGGAGGTCTTCCTGTTCATGCAGGTCAATGAGAAAAAAGCAGCGTGCTGCCATAGATTGGGTATCAGCAAGTAGCTTTTACCTGTTGGTACTCTGTATATGTTGCAGGCATTTCTGAGGTTCTGTCCCTTCTAAATGCAGTCTCAGGGCATAAGAATATTAAAAATGTGTTTAAGATATTTGTGTCTGGCCAATGGTGTGAATATACCTTCTATACAACCAGAGATAGGAAAAATTGTGCTCTTATATGTGTAATATGAATTGTATTGCATTCTGCTGTCATATGTAGCAAATTAGAATTTAAAAAAAAATTTAAATGCTAAAAAAAGATATTAGTGTCTGGTATTTGCTTTAAAATATTCCAGCACATTTATAGAAAGTTTGAGAGGATTTAAAATAGAAAGGGTGATACCCCCATGGGGTTCATTATACTATTCCCTTTACCTTGTTTGTTTGAAAATTATCCTAAGAAAAAAATTTAAATAACATCTAGAAGACCAATGGGAACAAAAAAACAGAAATAAATGTGAAAAGCCCTTCATAATAGTAACACCTCCCATCCCTTCCTGGACCCTAGAGGTGCCCAGAGGTGGCTGCTGCCATGGACCATGGACTCTCCACAGCTCTGTTACTTCTCCAAAGCTATGCCATTTCAAGAGCTACAAACTCACCACACTCCAGAGTGATAGTCCACCCACTGCATTCCATGATCATCTTTTGACTTATTTGGTTAGAGGTTAGGGAATCATCCGTTTGTTCACTGGCTCCTTCAGCAAATCTTGACTGAGTGCCACTCTGGATGCTGAGGGTCCAGCAGTGAGGTTCTGCTCAGGTCCCCCCTGAGGGACTGTTACATGCATCAGTAAGCAAGACCATTTCAGGTGGCGATAAGTGCTCAGAAGAACGTCACACAGGGCAATCAGGTTGGTGTTGGAGAAGATCCCCTGAGGAGGGGCTGTTGGAGCTGAGCCTTGAAGGACAAGGCAGAGCCTACTGCTGCCCTGGAGAGGAGCAGCTGTCCAAACAGAGGGCACTGCGGAGCCAAAGCAGCCATGCCCAGGGACACCAGAAGGCCAGTGCCAGGAGGGTGAGCCTGCAAGCTGGTTTCCGGTGCTGTCTTCCTCTCTTCCTTTCTTCTCTCTTTATTCCTTTAAAATGTGATTCTTCCCAGAGACCAGCTGACCTCTCCAGGTTCCGTGTTCCACTCATTTGTCTTTGTGACTCTGCTCTGAGCTCCCACAGGTGTTCTGCAGTGGCTCTTGGTTGGGGAGCCCTCTCCTGCTGAGAGGAGACTGGGTTCACAGTGGTGGTGGTGGGGTTTGTCTGGATTAGAGTGGCGTGCACACAGTGTTTTCATTGCTGTGGAATTGAATCTCAAGTCCAAAGTCAGCCATCAGTCCTTTAAAACCCACATCCTGCCAGGCACAGTGGCACATGCTGTAATGCCAGCAGCTCCGGAAGCTGATGCAGGAGGATCACAAGTTCAAAGCCAGCCTCAGCAACTTATC